ACCATCATTGATGGTATCATTCCAAGGAAAGCTAGAGCTGAGGAGGGGCTTCTCATGAAACAAATTCCATCCCTCCTTGACGTCTTCAAAGTAAGCACTAACCCTAAATTTCCCAAAATTAAAATGCTTCTTGTGAGAAGAAACAAAACTATAAACAGCAGTTACCGAATGGAGAGAAGTTATGACAGAATTTTAGTGGAGGTTTAAGAGAAAAGAAGGAATTATTCAAACAAACTAGGAATTAATGTCATATATATATATGACATTTTGGTAAAGAAGTGAATATTCCAAGTCTTGTTGTAGAAAAGCAAAAGGTGTCAACAATTATTTTCGTGTATATAAATAAGAGACTATATTAATGCCTTACTAACAAGATACTATCTTAGGGGTTGTGCAGGATAATTAACAGTAATCATGACAGATTAGTTACTTTTAAAATTTGCACCTGAACAAATCCACTAACGGATACTAGTAATGACTGAAGATTGATGTAAATCCATATTTTAGAATTTTAAAATATAATTTGATTACGGGAGAAACTTCCAGGAACCACATAAAAATTGTCATGTTGAATGAAAAGGAAAACAAATAAGTGATGGATTATAAAAGAGCAAACAGAAAGCAGCAACAGCTCCAATTCACAAACATTTCTTCACCCTGAGGTCTGTTACAGGACAGCACAATTGCACTTCTCTGTGGCCTAATTTCCTGTATTTTGCACTATTGAAAGAAAGTAGGCAAAAATGAAGAACTGGTCTAATGACTGTATAATGGATCAACTGGAGGAAAAAAATTCTAAATGTTCTGACTTTGCTGCAAATAATTTCTTAAGCTCAAAGCATAAATAACAATGTTTGCATTTAACATACAGTGTACAGCATATGTTTGCAAAACTAAACAACTGCCTGTGTTTACAGGAGATACATGATGCTCAGCTTGATTTGCATATCAGAGATCAGGCTGTAAATCTCTGATGATATTTACCATCGGATAATTGAAATTAATCCTGCCAAAATGACTTTGACAGTCCTGAATTTACAGCCTGAGAAAACAGCCCTGGAGCTGCCTGCTGAGCTATGAACACAGCTGGCTCTGTGTCTGCAACCTGACCTGTGCTCCTGGATAAAATCCTCTCCCAAATTAGAAGCCTCTTCCTTTCTTCCCCGGCTTCAGGTTCAGGTTGATTCCCATAACCATTAAGCAGTTGGGCTAACTTCAAGAAGAGCAGATATGTCTCTGTTTTGCTGGTTTGTTTTGGGTTTTTTATAGTTTTTCTAACCATAGCAGGTACATTAGTTATCTTCTTAGTTCTCTTCCTTCCCTGCCCTCGCCTCCCCAGTGTTATGCCACTTGCTTTCAATGTCCTTTCGCAGTGGCCAACTCTCCCAGCAGAAAGCATCAAGACATTCCAACACCAGAACTCAGACTCCCTCAAATCCTTCAGTAACTTGGATCATGGTTGTGTCTCAGCCTGTGCCTGTCTCTTCCAGGAAGAAGGAAGGTGCTTGGATGTTTGTTTGTTTTCTGTTTTGTTTGTTAAACTCAGATTGTCTCTTTAAACAGAAGGCACATAAGTTGTCCAGGAGAACAACGAGGTTAACTACAAAGCTACCCTGATGTTATCCTCCCGTCAGGAATGTCACCTGTGCCTTGATGTGTGATTGACACACAAAAGAAAAACATTTGTGAATATTACCCATAGCAAAAGAAAATAATAAAAAGACCAGATGTAGTTTCACCTTCTAAGAAAACAAATATTTAGTAGGCAGAATTTTCTTATCATTGCCAAAGAATTACGTAATTTATTGAAACTGTTGGCAACCTTTTTCAATTTAAGAGATGTTGCATCTTGTGATGATTGTGAAAGTTGCACTTTGGGTTTTGGTGCTAAAAGATAGCAAACAGCCTCCCCAATTTCTTGATACCAAATTTACAACTACAGAGAATGCTATATATTTTTCAAAAGCAACATTTATAGATAGAAAAGTATGCTTCTAATGTATAAAAGGGGTTTTTTTCAAAGCCTGGAAATAAAAAGACAACTGCCACCCATTACAGAAATGGATGCACTTTTATTTGTAGCATTTATTTACAACATAGCTCTTTCAGAAAGGTGGCAGTGATAGCTTTGATATTCATCTTGCTTTCCCCCCCCTACAACCTTCTGCTTTCCAGGACTATCCAATTTGAAAGCAGGCATCCATCCAAATATGTAATATTAAGGAAGAGAAACAGCTCTCCTTTATAAAATCTTAATTCCTTGTCAGTGGAAAGAGTAAAATCACTAGATTAACTGTGATCACTGATTATTATCCTCCTGCAAATATGCTATCCTGTGCTCTGTCCCCTGTTCAGAGCTCGTGTCAGCTGGCAGACACCTGGAGAGGGAGAACACTGCAGATGACAACTGGATAAGCACATATTCTGTGGGGATGAGAGGAAAAATAACTTCCTAGGCATCATAAACCCTTGTGGAAAGCTTGCTCCACCCTCCTGAGCTGCTGTACACCCCCAGTCTGCAGGAGTCCGGAGGAGATGCACATTTACTGGTACCCAGCACAGCTGGCCTCATCTGGATCGGAGAGCTCCAGGCACGGAACGGGTTCACAGGAGACACCCCGGGAATCAGCTGGGCTCAGTGCTGCCAAACTCAGCCAATTAGTACTGCCAAGGCAAAATTCACTGCAGGTTCTTTTGCAGAGCATCTCCATATATAAGCACCAGTAAATTAACAATCCAGTGGAGGATCTGAGCGTCATTAATCTCAGTAATTTTCCCTTATTTCCAAATCAGGCCATATATTCTTCACGGGCTGATTTTCACTTGAATTAGCCAACATGGGCATAAGGCCCAGTTGCAGCTGACTGTTCTGGAGTCAGGTCTCCAGGCAGGATGTCTTAAACCTGAAACAACCACGTCTTGTCATCAAATCCCTTTTACAGAAGCCCTTCAAGAGTATCTCATGTTCCCACCGTACTTGTTCTGTACTAAGTGCATATACCATGTACACTCCTACAGCACATCCTACAGATTCATCTCAACAGATCAGCTAAACAGAACTCAACTGGCTTTTGGACTGAGGTAATGGAACATAACCCAACACGAGTTTTTACTGGGAGCAGACTGAAAGCCCACCAGTGACGACTCCCAGTGAGGCTTTTTTGTTCCGTACTCTGAATACTCCTATTTTAATCAGACTGTGCCACATTTTTTGTCACCTCCTGCTGCCTTTAGCCACTGAGATTTCTGCATGACTTCAGGCTGCAATAATTCTGTGCCTATAACTAGCCTTTCACATCATGGCTGTGTCCTTACTCTCTTAATTCAAATGCAAAATGCAGATCTGATAGACTGGAGGTAGAAAATGAGAGTTGCTGATGACTGTGAGGGGGAGGCATGGGTTGGCGGTGAAGGTTTGCTTTGATTCCTCTGACTACAAAAGCCTCCTTGCTAGAGAAGATATTTTAAAATGTCTAAACAAAACCTCTGTCTATGCAAATTCAAAACCATTCTGACATAAAATTAAAGCAATTCTTGCCATTATTTCTTAAAGGTCATGAATATGCCATAAAAGATGATTAAGGCATTAAATTACTGCAACAGGTTAAGAGACAACAATACATTAGATTTCTGGTGTTTCCAGTTCTAAGGAAAACACTGACCATTAATTCTTATTACTGATAGTAAATGGTGGAGGCATCATCTGTTATCAGAACTGGCTGACAATTTCTGTTATAAAACCCACTTCTCAGCTGTCTTGAACTTTGCCAAACTTTAACTGGTTTGTCTGTGTTTTATAAAAGTTGAATATGTGCTTCAAGCTTTCATTTTAAGTAACTGCTCTCAGCCAAAATAACTTGGAATAATTCACAAAAGGGTAGATTTGTTATTCCATTTTGAAAAAAAAGTTTTGAATAGTATTTAATGCTTCCTCAATTCACAATCTTAAAGCAAGACTGGAAATCTGATCCTGACAGAGTTTTAATCAGCTCTCCAAAAAGTCTGGGTGAATTACAACAGTTTGGAAAATCTCAACTCAAGGCTCCCTGCAATTGCAGCAGACTAAGAGGGATTTAGGAAAAGGAACGAAAGAAGAAATTCTTCCTTGCTTTTTCTGTGAAGTTTCTTTCCCTGCAGTGGCCAACAAGCTTGAAGGACTATTTCATCTCGTGCAAATGCAAAAGAAAAAAAAAGACCAATAGCAAATGGAAAAAAAACATTAGGGCTGGATAATAAAAGAACCAGGGAAAAGACCTGTAAGACTGGAAACTTCTCTGTGGACTGATGACATTCAGTTGTTAAAAATCAGACCTAGTACAGTACAGTGGTGCCAGTTATACCACTCCCAAGTAATTCAGGAGTTGAGAAGATGCAGTTTGGAAAAAAAAAATTCCATTCCATTTCTTTAAGTTGTAAGTTAACCAAAACTGAATATAATTGAAGAAAGTTCAGGAACTAATAATTAACTGGTAAGCAGGAATATACTAATATTCTACAAGCACCTTCATAAAAATGCATTTGCCCGGATAATAAAAAGGTATACATTGGTTTATTAATCAGGAGTGACCTTGCTGAAACACATATAGTGACTTTATATTTCCACTTGGCCAACCTTAAAGTGTGTTGCATACTTAGGAGCTAGAAATACTACACAGAAAACTTACTCAAAGTTTTAGTCAGTTACTTATTTAAATTATATATTTAAGTTCCACAAAGCTCTTACCTTAAAAAAAAAAAACAACACCGCAGAACAACAGATGCCAAGTAAAAGCAAATATTTGTATTTTGGCACTATCTGAAATCCTTCCCATCTCCCTGTTTAGTAAAGCCTTTATCTGGTAAACCACATCAAAGTCTGTTTTTTCCAGCCCTCTCTTTAATTTATCTGTGTTCTCCAAGTGAACTCCACCAATCGATGCTAAATCGAGCTGAAACACAAACCCGTGGTTATTAAGCGAAGTTATCAATTACCCAGCACAGCCTCTCCAGGAGCTCCCTACCTGTTAACATCCCAGATTTTGCTGGTGCTGTCCATGGAGGCGGAGGCCACGAAGTCCCCCCGGGAATGCCAGGAGCAGCCGTGGACAGCGCGGGCGTGTCCCTTCAGGGTCAGGATGCACCCGCGCCGCGAGAGGTCCCAGATCCGCACCGTGGTGTCCCCGCTCGACGTCACCAGCTGGGTGCCGCTGGGAATAGAAACAGCTTTCAGCAAGGGTAGAGGTGAAGATGTTCTCAAGGGACACAGCAAAATAATTTACCTCTGTTTAGAAAGACAGCTTAACTAGCAATTGATGTTATGTTAAAATACATACAAACAAAAATCGTGTTTGAAAACATTCTTGTTTTTACTTGACGCGGTTTTCTGACACGTCACAGATGAAGCGGTCGCTTATTAAATATACTATCAAAAGACAAGGAAAGGAGATAGGAAGGAGCTATCTCCCACAGGAAAGTGAACACAGCTTCCAAAAATTACTTTCCTACCTTTTGTAGTCTGTTTATCACTAGGGTTTATCAATAAAATAAGTAAGCCCAGAGAACTGCTTTCAAAACAGAATAAGACAGATTCAGGGAAGAATATTTTCTTATTTCCCAAATTCATACCTTTCTACATGTAAATTATTATTAAAAGCATCCCAATTTTGTTTCTTCTAACTCAGCATAAACACTTTAACACATTCACTATCTCTTGGGGTCATTGATATATTACATGAATGAAAAATACAGAGTTTAATTCAGATTTTTTGACCAAATCTTCAGATAAGTGTAATTCTGTTTCCTTTAAGCATGAACATATGGCTTCAGACTAAAAGTTCACCTGTAACATGTTCTATAACAACTAGTAGAGGATTCTTAATTACAAGAAAATAATAAAAACAAGTATGTGGAGTGATACCCTTGTTAAACTCTCCCAGCCCGTGGCTCAGGATTTCTCTGTGCTTAACAAGCACATCCATGGAGCTTTTTTCCCCACGAGTAATTGATTTTTGAACATATGCAAACTTTTGGCACCCACAATCTCTTATGTCAATGAATTCCAGAATTTAATTACGCATTGTGTGAAAAGCTATTTTGGGGTCTTAAATACCTTACTCCATTTCACTTGATGCTTCTAATTCTAGTACTGTGATTAAAAGTAAACATCTACTACACATCCACCATCTCTAAATGTGGTATCAACTGTGGCGTTTCAGGGCCCTGTTATATTTTACTGCAAAGCTGAAGATTCCTGCTCTATCGACTCATTCCTCACTCAGACATCATTGCAGCTCTTGGGGCACATTTACCATCTCTCTCTGCACCTTTGCAGTTGCAACTGAAGAAACAGGTACTCAAGGAAGCGGTACAGCAGCACAGCAATGTTTCCTGGTTTATTCTGTACTCTTGTAATTCAGTCAGCATTTCTGGCCCCACCACAAAGAAGCCGACCACAGCGGCTCCAGGATTGCTTTCCTCAGTACTGAGAAGTAGTTTAGACCCATTCTTATCTATGGACAATTAGGGCCATTTTTTCTTATGTGCTTTTACTTTGTGTTCATCTGCATTGACTTTCATCTGCCACTTCGCCATCAAGTCACCTGCTGAGACTGGAATCTTTTCCTGTAATTCTTCACTTGCTCCTTTTTCCTGTCCTGGCTAATTAGTAAACTCATCCACCTCATTCTTTTCCCCAACTTCCAAGATGGTCTTAACTTAGATCCCAGCACAGATCCCCACGGGACTCAAAAATTCATCTCTCCATTCTGAAAGTGACATTTTATTCCTGTCCTTTCACCACTTTTTCCATTCACAAGATAAATTTCCGGTTTATTCAGGACAGTTTTGATTCCTGGGGAGTTTTTGTAAAACGACCTCCAGAAGAATTTACTGCAAATCCAAGTGTATGAAATTCATGAATCTCCCTTGATCAAATGCTCAGCAAGCCCTTTGGAGAACCCCCAGCCGATTTCTGAGGCTTAATTTCCAAAGCCATGCTGATACCCCCCCGGGCTGCACTGCAGTAAATGTATCCAGGTATCCTGTCATTTTGCTTCTTAATATCATTTCTATCAGCCTTCCCAATATAAAAGTTAGATCAATCCATCTGGAGCGCCTTCATCCCAAATTCCTTTAAAATACTGGAAAAAAAGTTAATGCAGCCCTCCCAGGAATATTGCAGGTTTTCAATCGTGTTTAATAAACAAAAACAAAAACCAGGAAAAAAGTGTGCGGATAATACACAAAAATACAGGTCAAAAGTATTTAAACTGTAGGTTTTCAGACCAATTTCTGCTGCTATCTCAGCAACGTCAGTAAGATGACCTTGCCTTTAGGATCCCATAAACTCTGGTTTTATTTGAATAGTGGCAAAGGTGCTATCACAGGCCGTAGAAACCCTTCTCCCACATCCCTGGATATAAAAGTGTGGGAAGTGAAAACAGCTCAAGGGTTGATTCTAAGCGCTACCGTAAAACTTCAAGCAAGAATATACTCTGAGATATTCAGTTCACTGCTGCAGTTCATAAGAAAAAAAGAGGGGGGGGGGGGGGAAAGAAGGGAAACAAGGGTCTGGGACCTGTGGTGTCAAACCTTCTTTCTTATATTCTTCCTCTCCTCCTTCTCCAGTAGATGTCCACCAAATTGCTTGGTAAAGTAGCTACTGTGACAGCTTGAAATATGTGCATCATTTACCTGATAGATCTTAGGGGGGAACTTGACATTATGAAAGATCACCTACCTAAGTTTTTGACTATTTTTAACACTTATGGTTTAGACTGCTAATTTTTATGAAAATATCATTATAATCTTCGTTAAGGCAGTTACACCCCCATGCCTAAGACAAAGCTTTGAGAGATTAATCTCTCAAAAATTTTAATATTGCACAGGAGTAATTCTGAAGCTTTTGTCACGTATCCCAGAGCATAAAGGTTTGAAGCCTGAGTAGGGGTTTGGGGGAGACCCTAATTTTGTAAAGCTGCTTGGAATAAATGTGCTTTTGTTAATGAAACACTTGCACTTTTAATAACTCAAGCTAGATCTCACTTCTGGAGACAGATAAAATTAGAGAAATGACAAATTATCATACCCCTTATACATTTATGAAATAAGAGCTTAAAACAAATTCGGAGGCAGGTATAAAGTGGGACTGATGAAATCTGCAATTGATTCAGAGGGAAACATGTACTGCCACTGTTGTGAATCACAAGGAGAGATTTATGGCTTATACATTTTTTAATATATAATCCCCAAAATGCTACATGAAGCACTGGTTCCTTGGGCTGAATTTCAAGAATACGCCATCCAGGCAGTGATGAAAATCTTTCAGAGAACAGATATGAGCAGGAAGGCAGTTCAAATGGATTCAATTTGGCAATCTGCAATAGGGGAAGGAGTAACAAATGAGGTTTAGCACTCCTTACAGATCAAAGGAGAAAAAAGGGGGGATTGAAAACAAAAGCACAGCTTGTACAGGAAAAAGTTTTGAGGGACAGACTGATAGTGGGAGGAAGGTCAAAAATACTCGGGAAGAGCAGGCCCAGATGCCCCAAGCCCTGCAACAGAAGCTCCCCAACATTCCCTGAGCATAAGAAAGCATCACTGCCCCAAGCCCTGCAACAGAAGCTCCCCAACATTCCCTGAGCATAAGAAAGCATCACTTCACCAAAGAAAGGGGAGTTGCATCTGCTGAGGCTCTGCAGTTAAGCATGTAGGAATTAATGCCAGCTTTTCTGGGAAGCACCAATGGTACTCATGGGAATGATGGCTGTCAGAGCTGGTTTAGCACTGAGGCTGTTCAGCAGTGAGGAAATCCTTGCCACACAGTAGTTTTCAAACCACATAATGAACAAAAAAGTGCTGTGTCAAGCCAAGTCAGACATCTAAATCAAAATTCTGCTATTAGAAAAAAATCCTACCTACTTAATAGCTGATCAATAATTACATACTTTTTCTGATTTGAGGCCTTTTTTGGTCCTGGGAGATAAAAGAAACACTCTATATTCTGAGCTAATGTTTTGTTCCCCATAGTTCCAACGTTTTTTTACTGTACTATTGTTCTGTATAAGATCACGTTGGGGAGAAAAACAAATATATCAGGAAAAGCAGCGGTTTTTAATGATTTAGGCTGTCGGTTTAACAGTCTGTGGTACCCACACAGTCCTCTATTTCATGACTGATTTTCAAACAAAATGCATACTGATTTTTAGATTCAAATCATATGACATCAGAAGCTCATATATACCAGCAGCTACATATATAATCTCCATTTGAATTTAAGATTGATCACTAACAGGGAAAGCTCCAGCTAATCCTGTGCAGTGTGTATATCTAACTCAGAGCAAAATAAAACACTTTAATTGTTTTTTAACAAACAAATCAACGAACCAGACAACATATTGGGAGACAAGAAAAAGGTAAATCCTACCTTCTTCTGTAACTTGAAACACATTCACATACATGCAAATAACTTTGCCATCTTTTAGAAATTTGGTACTTTTGTAAAGAAAGTAACAGCACTTTTGTGTGCAGTGCTCTGTGGACTCCACCAGTTTGGTTTGTACTGTCTTGCTTGGTCTGTTTGGGGGGTTTTTTGTTTACACTTTCTAGCAGACCAAAGCACTAGAAGGGATGAAACATGGATAGACCATTTTTTAAAATACTAAATACACATCAAGTTCTACCTTTCAGCTGACTTCAGGTATTCCTAACTGATGCTGTGAACTGCCCTTCCAGAGACAATTAGAGCAGGAAAAACTTTGGAAACATGAATTCTGCATTCCAGAAAAGGGGATGGAACATCAACTTCTCAAACCTTAAATACTCCCTCCCTCATATTCTAAACACACACACACACACATATTTCCTTTCTTTATACATTCCTGCTTCTTCCAGCTTCACTGTTCTCACTACAAGATGTCTCTCCATTAACACTTCCCAAGTTGTAGACATATCAATAATTCAAACTCATATTCAGCAACAACATGAGCCTTTGGCACAGAGTCATTTTACAACATTTCAGGTGACTGATCACCTTTCTGGAATACCACTCAAATGAAGGCAACAGCTACCCCTGTAGTGCTCCCCTGCAAATATATCAATTGTAACACCAACAGGCAAGGCAGCTTCAAATATTGCACCTGGCTCAAATATTTCTGGATGATGGACTTGGATCTGAACCTCGAGCTGCTCCAGGGGAGTGCTCAGGTTA